CTTACCTCGGGTGACGAGTGGAGAACGCAAATTATTTTAAATGATGTGCCTCGCATTCAACCTAATTACTCGCTAAATCCACAAGAGCACATCGAAACACGCTCTATGGGATTTTCGAGTCACGAGGGTGAATGCTCTTTTCTTCGCAACAAAAAGAAATATCCACAGGAGTACACATGCACCAAAAGTATCCTGTTCGTAGTGATTATTAATACACACACACACATACACTCCGGCCACGAGTGTCTATTTGTAAGGTTGTTTCGTCTGTGATATTTATTAAAATAAAAGTTCATGCACTGCGATTATTCACATAAACTAGGCTTCAATACACATACGCGTTTTAGCACAAGTAAATAAATCTGTCGCGAATCAAATCAAATCTAACATCTCAAGTTAGTGGGACGCAACAGAAACTTCACTGGATTCGGACTTATGTGAACAGAAAAATGTAAAGGAATGGAAAATTTAAGACGATAGTTCCTTCACGACTGCTCTCCGATAATTCCCAGAACAAAATACTGTCGATGCCTAAACGCAGCTTCACATCAGAAAAAGAAAGAATGCATCCTGTCAAGAATTTGTGTGAGAAAAAGAGAGGAACATAGAGCGTGTAACTTGGACGGCGCGAGTTGAGTGTTACCAGATGCCCAGGCGTCCGAGGCCGAACGCTTTTGTTAATAGGTCAGGACTTCGATTCGATTGGGACAAAAATTTGCTGGAATAGTTTTTAGTCGACTTCTGATGAGACAACATCGCAAGTGCGTCGCGAAAAGGAGTACGACGTAAAAATTTCGAGTTTTCGGGCAAATCGTTGTGCGCGTAGTTAACGCGTGTTACGCGTAAATAACGAACATATCAAAATATTCCGTGTTCGTTAAGGCACGCACCGTTCTGTTTAGTGGAGCAAGGCGAAGCCAACTGATCGCTCGCTCGAAGATTTTCTTCCAGAAAATCTTTCCCCACTCGGGGGACAAGTTCGTTAGAGAAAATGTATTTGTATTTTTCAACTAAACCCGGCTTTCGTTTCCTTGTCATCGTATTTCCGTATTTCCGTGCGCATACATATACAAGGTGTAAACCTGCTAGTAGGCAATATTTGAGGTTCGTATTCTAGGAGCCAAAATATGCATAATCCATATAAATCGCGTAATAGCTTCAACCTTCTCAACAGTCGAATGAATATCTCAGGAACTGTAGAGCCTCAATTACAAATTTACATTTCTATACATTTAAACGGAGATGAAACTACTCCAGCCTTTCAAAAACAATTCGAAGATGCTCAAAATGCTCTTTGAGAGATGATGACGCAATGACAATGTCATCAATATAGATGAACACAAATTCCAAGTCTCCTAAGGCCCGATTAATGTAACGCTGGAACGTCTGACTGGCGTTCCTTAAACGAAAAATCATGAACAAATATTCATATAACCAAAAATGCGATCTTAGAAATATCTTCAAGCGCAATAGGAATCTGGTTAAAGGTTTTGAAACGATCTAGCCATGAAAATATCTTCATGAAGCAAAGTCGTAAAGGTGAGCAATTGGGAATTTGTCCAGGACCGTTATGGCATTAAGCTGCCTGTAATCTCTGCAAACACGCCAGGATCTACCCTTTTTAAGAATCATGTGTATGGGATTAGCCCATGCACTGCTAGAAGGCCTACAAAGACCGGCATCGCACCAAGCTTTAAATTCCTTTTCGGGAGCAAGCAATTTATTAGACGCCAAGCGCCTAGGACGCGCAGGAACAGGCGGTCCTTTAGTCAAAATGTGATGAAAAACATCACGTGTCTCGGGAGGAACAGGACATTGGGTGCCTGTAATCTACGGGAACTGTGTCACAATATCTGCACATTTCACACTGGGATCGACCGAATGGACTGAATGCACCGGTGGAATCATAAGATTTCCCGCGGACGAGGCTCCAGTAGCCCTGTCCACTAGACGGCGTCTGTGCAAATTGACCAGAATTCCATAGTGCCAAAGCAAATCGGCTCCTATAATGGGGTGCGGAATTACGATGTTCCATCTAATAATTGGAGAACCCAAACGTAAATCTAAATTGCGAAACGATTCGCCGAACGTATCAATCGTTGAATCATTAGCCACAAATAATTTAAGACCAGAGGGCTTAGCCTTAATCTATGGATTCGCAGGTAACAATGATAAGCCCGCGCCCATGTCAATTAAAAAAATCTGACCCGAACTACGATCACGAAAATAGAGATGTCTGGATTCAACGTGTCCCTCGCTTAGAGCATATACTACTGGAGGCAGCACTCCGCTTGCCGAAGTGTAGGGGAGTTACTAGAGAGTGAGACAGGTATAGCGGGGTATATGCTGTCTCTTTCTAGGAGCACGTGATTGGTTGACGGTTGTCGCCACCGTCAACCGCGGAAAACAAGTGATTTTCTTTTGAAAGTGAAGTTCTTTAGCGATAATTTATTGAATTAATTCAATGAAAAATGCCTAAAAAGTGTTGTATACCAAATTGTAAAATACAGCGAGATGATCCAGGTGGTTTTGATATTAGTTTCTACATGTAAGTTTCAGTTGAGTGTAAATGATTCCCATTT